CATTAGGCAAATCGCTGCACAAGACCTCTTTGAAGAAATAAAGAGCTAAGATGTCAGTTTGAGGACTAAGGTGTGTCTGACCCAAGCCATGGTACTTTCAATAACCTCATAGGCATGTGAAAGTTGGACAATGAATAAGGAAGTCTGCAGAACTGATGCATTTGAGTTACAGTGTTGGAGGAGAATATTAAAAGTGCCATGGACTGCCAGAAGAACAAACAAATCTGTGTTGGAAGAAGTACGGCAAGAATGTTCCTTAGAAGCCAGATGGCAAGACGTCGTCTCTCATAACTCAGACATATTATTAGGAGGCACCTGTCCCTGGAGAAGGACATTATTCGAGGTCAAGTGGAGGGTCAGCAAAAAAGAGGAAGGCCCCTGATGAGATGGACTGACACAGTGGCAGCAGCAGCAGGCTCAAGCATAAAGATAAACAGCTTTGGAAGCCTATATACAGGGTCACTATGAGTTGGAACAGACTCAACGACACATAAGAACAATAAACATCATAAATAACTGGGCAACTATATGGCTTGAGCACTTATGTGCTGAGTGCACTTTCATACCAATCTGTCCTCAAGTATGGTTATCACAGCGCGTCTTTTTGGTGGAGAATCAGAGGTTCTGCATGAGAAGTAACTAGCTGTCTGGTCACACACCAGCAGGTGGCGTGCTGTCCAAAGTATGAGAGCTGAAGTCTAGTTATCCTGGCTTCTAAGGAGCACTCTGGCTGTACTTCTCAAGACGAAAATTTGTTTATTTGGCGGTCCATAGTACTTTCAATATTCACTTCAAACACCACAACTCAAACGCATTAATTCTTCTACAGTCTTCTTTATTCATTATCCAACTTTCACATGCTTATGAGGTTATTGAAAATACCATGGTTTGTGTCAAGCACACCTTAGTCCTCAAACTGACATCTTTGCTCTTGAACACTATAAAGAGGTCTTGTGCAACAGATTTGCCTAATGCAATATGCCTTTTGATTTCTTCACTGTTGCTTCCATGAGTGTTGATCGATCTGAGAAAAATGAAGTCTTTGATAACTTCAGTCTTTTCTCCATTTATCTTGTTGTCATTTTCCGGTCCAGTGGTGATGATTTTTGTTTTTCCACTATGGTGGAACCTATACTGAAGGCAGTGGTCTTTGATCTTCATCATTGGTTTAAATCTGTATTAAGTCGATGTGACCAAGTTGGCTGGATTGAGGATTTACTGTCAGTCCCAAAGAAGTCAAGACAGGTCCATATGATGGCAAACAGATTTGTTGTTGTTAAGTGCTATTGAGGTGGTTCCAACTCATAGAGACCCTGTATAGGGTTTCCAAGGAGCAGCTGGTGGGTTTGAACCACTGACCTTGTGGCTTGCAGTACAGTGCTGATCCTACAGCACCACACCAAGAGTTCAAAGATAGTTGGCATGATTTCCTACAGACTTATGTGAAGTTCTAGATTTGCAAAATAAAACTAAATGCTCTTGGTTTGTATTTTTAATGTTATCTCTCTTAAAAAAAAAAAAAACTTTCTTTTTTTTTTTAAGTAATGGGTTTTTCTTTTTTTAGACTTACCTCCAATTCCTGCATCTTCTAGAACGAGCTTTGCAGAATTCTCCATGAGGGAGCGCATGCGGGAGAAACTACAAGCTGCCAGGGTGAGCAAGATGGCGCAGATATTTTGTGCAATGTTGATTGTCACTCCTCAGATCTTGTCTCCCTTGCCGTTAAATCTATCCTATGTGTCATGTTGTAAATGTTAGTGTACAGTTGACACAAATGAAGATCTTGCTTCTGAAGTATTTAATGTCATTTTTCTAAATCAATCTGCTTACTCTTTTTCCTTAAAGACATTGTTATTGTTAAGTGCAATTGAGTCCGTTCTGACTCATAGTGACCCTGAATAGGGTTTCCAAGGAACAGCTGGTGAGCTTGAACCACCAACCTGTGGTTCTAACAGGCTGTGCAGTCCAGCGCATTAACCCACAGTGCCACACCAAGCCTGCTTAAAGATGTGGACAGTGTCTTTTCTTACTGATCATTTTCTACTGAGTCCGTAACTGTCATTTTCAGAGAATGGCTGACAGTCCATAACAGTAATTTTATTTTGTCTATTTTTCACTTTTAGTCTAAAGCAGAAAGTGCATTGCTGCAGGAAATTCCTACACCAAGACCCAGGCGTTTACGAAGTCCCAGTGAGAAAGAATTGGAGACTGAATTTGGCGTAGAGGTGAGAAAAATGAGCAACTTTTATTTTGTCATCATTCAAACATTGAAGCCACATATAAAATTCTCAGCAAAGGTTTTAGATCAGAGCTGTACACACAAGAAGTGTTAAATATGTATTCATCAATATTATAAACTCCAAGGAGCCCTGGTAACATAGTGGGCTACGAGACTTAGGCTGCTAATGGCAAGGTCAGCAGTTCGAATCTATCAACTGCACCACAGGAGAAAGATGAGGCTTTCTGCTCCCAAAAATATTTACACCCTTGGAAACCCTAGATCCAGAGTCTTTATCAGTGGGAATTAACTCCACAGTACATAACCACCACTACTATCATAAACCCCCAAACACAAAACATAAAAACACGATGCATTTGAATTGTGGTACTGGCGAGGAGTATTGAAAGTACCATGAACAAATAAGTCTGTCTTGGAAGAAATACGGACAGAAGGCCCCTTAGAAGCAAGGATGGCTAGACTTAGTCCCTTGTACTTTGGATATGTTGTCAGAAGAGCATCATGCTTAGTAAAGTGGAGAGTCAGTAAAAAAGAGGCAGACCCCAATGAGGTGGATTGACAGTTGGTAGCACCAATGGGCTCAAATGTAACAATTGTGAGAATGGTTCACGAATGGGCAGTGTTTTGTTCTGTTGCGCAGAGGGTTGCTATGAGTTGGAATCAACTCAACGGACCCTAACAGCAACAAAACACCAAACCCGTTGTTACTGAGTGCATTTCTCCCCCTATGTGACAGAGGAGAACTTCTCCATAGAGTTTTCTGGGCTGTCATCTTTATAGAAGCAGATCATCATTGTCTTTCTCCCATGGTGCTGATGGGTGGGTGCAAGCTGCCAACCTGTGGGACTTTGCTGAATCTTTTTCTCATATAGAGTGATGGTGGTGGTGGTCGTTGTGTGCCATGGAGTCAGCGTAGACTCAGAGCAACCCTGCATAGGGTTTCTCAGGCTCCTGCAGAGCAACTGGTATATTCAAACTGCTGACTTTGCCGTCATCAGCCCCACTCCTAACCCACTACCCTACCAAGGCTACTTATACTTTGGGGTAGTGGTGGTTGGTTATGTGCCGTGGAGTCGGTTCCGACTCATAGCGAGCCTGTACGCTGTTTCCGAGGCTGTAAATCTTTACTGGAGCAGAAATCCTCATCTTTTTCTCCCGCAGAGAAACTACAGCTCATAATTTCAAACTGCTGGCCCTGAGATTAGCAGCCCAATTCATAACCACTATACTACCAGAGTTATTAGGTACTATTATTTTCATTCACATAAGACAGATGAAGACACTGATGTTCTGAGTGACTGTGTAGTTGTCCCCTGGCTACAAAGTGGGACTGGATCCTCCCAGGTCTATCTCATTCCCAGGTCTGTCTCGCTGGGCTCATAGATTTTGTTGGGAAACAGAGAGAGGGAGAGAGAGAGAAGTGAGCAACAGAAAAGTAAGGTTGGTTGGTGGTGACCTTCACTCTCACACTCAAGAAGCTTAATAGCTTTTTATGGTTTTTTCCTTATTTTAATTTTAGTGAAAATATACCAAGAACATATATATCCATTCATCAATTCCCACACATATAATCCAGTAACACTGGTTATATTCTTCAGTTCTGTCACATTTTCACTCTCTCCACCCATGTTGTTCACCATCATTGTTTTAGACTCTCTACCCTTGAAACCTTCTCATCTATGCTTTAGTTACAGTTGACAATTTGATCTCAGAGGTAAATCTGTTTAAATAGCACAGTGCTCATTCACAATGCAAACATTCTTTGATAATCTAGCTAAATAAACAGCTATTTCATTTTAAAATGGCTTCAGGAGATAGCTTCAGTCTATGGTTTGAAGATTTTTTCAGAGAGACAGATTCAAAGGTTTCTCTTGTCTCAATAGAGCCGTAAGTCTAGATTCTTTAAGAATTTGAAATTCTGTTACACATTTTCTCCCCTTTTGATCCAGATTCATTTATTGTGATTCCTTAATCAAAATGCTCAGTAATGATAGCTGGGTACCATCAGTTCTTCCAACCTCATGACTGAGGATGCAGTTAAACCTGCAGTCCAGTTCCTTCACTTTAATGGTTTTCCACAAGCTTTGGAAAGCCACTGACAATAAGATGCAGAGGTAGCTTGGATGTGCTGGGTGATTTTTGTCTGAAATGCTGTCAGGAAATCTCAATGTACGCATGCCCAGAGAGACAGAAAAACAGATAAGGAAGCATTTCTCCTGTAGTAAGTCATGAAGTTTGGAGAATGCCTTTTCACTGTTTCTGGAGGGAAAGAAGGCCGAATGAGGAGGAGCGTGTCCCACAGAGAAACCTCATAGTTAAGGCACATGAGAATGATAGAAAGGCAGTAAAAGGTGGGAGTTTTCAGGGAGGTAGGTGCTCTGACTGGAAGCGTAGTGATTACGAATCGGGCTGCGAACCGCAAGGTCAAAAGTTTGAAATTGACAGCTGTTCCGCAGGAGAAAGATGAGGCTTTCTGCTCCCGTAAAGATTGATAACAAAGATTGATAGCCTCGGAAACCCTGTACAAGGTCGCTATGAGTAGGAACCAACTCCACGGCACATAACCAACAACAACCAGGTGAAGGATGCACACATAAAGGAAGGAAAAGAACAGAGCAAATGGCTCCACAAAATCTCGGTCAATTCTAACTCAGTGGTTTTCTGTTTTGTTTTTTAACCACTGAGAAAGCTAAGAACAGGCTGTAAGGACATCTCACACTGAGAGATTGCACATTTTCTTTTGTGTGATGAGATGCTATCAGATCTAGCCTATCTTCATCCAAACTGATTTCTTTATGCTCCAGAGGTGCAATCTCCCTTTGCATGCTGTGATCGGTCCATAGCGCTTTATTGGGACACTCGGTCTGATAAAATGGATACACGGCATGCCTTTGAGATGCGTGCTACTGAAGAGATATTTCTGTTTCTTTCATTCCAATAACTTTGTTTTATTATACAGGCTATGTTTTCATTTTTAAATGGTGAAAATAAAGAAAAGAAATATCTAAAATCCCATTGACTTGACACAAACTCTGGGCTTTTCATGGTGTGTATTAGAGGTAAACTGCCAGGGCCTCCGATCTCTGATCTCGAAGTCATGGTAGCAAAGGGCCAAGGACCAAAGGCCATAGCAGTTGGTATCACAAATAACACTGGACTTTTCAGGAAAAAAAACACATACTCTTTTGGCTTATGGAATATTTCTTTTGCATGCTTATTTTTTTCTATTTTATTCCATATCTATTTTATTCTCTATCTAAGTCCCATTCTTACAGATTTGTAGCAACCATAAATTGTCTTGTTTTTAAAAACCACTTCATATTCATCGTGGAAGATCTCACTCACAAGGGCATTTATTCAAGTATAGACCTTAAATCCAAAACAATAGCTCAAAAGTGGTTAGCAAATCTGATGCAGACCATGCAGACCCAGTCAGGAGTTCAAGTCCCTGTGGGCCCAAGCGTTGCTGACCATCCAAACCATAGGCTCTGAGGATCAGACTTTAGCCACCTAGCAGACATAGCAAAATGTCCTTTATCTGATTATTCAGATATGCTGGTTAGTAATTCCATACATGAGCCCTGGATACCCACAGATAAATGTAAAAACCTTCCCTAAAAGCTGAGACTGTAAATTCCAAAAAGGCAAAGTTTTTCCCAAAAAAAAAAAAAAAAGCTAAAGAGGATAATAGAGAGAAACACTGTTAGCTGATGGTATGTGGAGGGGATTATAATCAATGTAATGAAACAAGGTATATGAATGTTTGAATGTGAAACCGATGAAGTGCCCTGAAAACTTTCACTCAATCCACAATAAAAACCTTAAAAAAAAAAAAAAGTGGTTAGCAACCCAGCACTTAACCACGGTGCCACCAGGGTTTCTACATACAACGAATGATATTGCGCTTGTGGTTGGATGCCCTCTAGTCATCTCCTACTCAAAGCAATCCCCATGTACAACAAAACTAAACACTGCCATGTCCTGGGCCAGCCTCACAGTTGTGTGAGCGCATTGTTGCTGCCACTATGTCAATCCGTCGCATTGAAGGTCTTCCTCTTTTTGGCTGGACCAAACCCCAGATTCTCTTCTTTTCTGTATTTGTTTCTTTATCATTGTGCTAAGTAAAACTTCCCTGAGTCTTATATCATCCTCAGCATTCTAATTAGCAGCCAAGTGCATTTATCCATCTGCACCAACTGACTCCAGCAAGTCTTGCATCCATAGGGTCACCTCTCTGTCACGTGTTAGACTTAGTTACAATCAAGCATTGTTGATGTATCTCTTCATAGATCGTTTAGAAATGGCCCTGTGTGAACTGGATATGATACCAATCTATAAAATAAATGAGTCCTGCTGGTGCAGTGGTTAAGCACTGGACTGCTAACAGGAAGTTGGTTCAAATCCACCAGCAGTTCCACTGGAGAAAGATGGGGCATTGAAAGTCCCATGGGGCAGTTGTACCCTGTCCTGTATGGTTACTATGAGTTGGAATCTACGGGACCACTAGAGCTTTATTTGGGATTTCTTCAATGGTCAGAAGATACGTTTTTTGAGTTAGTCTTTGTTTTACAGCATTCTCGATTTCTTGATACAAATGGCTTATCATTTTCTCCCCAATTATGTAGCCAAGTAAAGAGGCGCTAAGGACTCAGCAAGAAGATGGCTCCCAAAGTTATTCAAGAGTCAAGCATCATGAGTTTATAAGAAAAATCAAGACTAAACCTCTGGTGAGAATTTTTTAAAATCATGCTTTTGTTGTGTGTTTGTTTTGTTTTTACTCAAAAATATCCAATAAGAGATGGTCACTGGGGCTACTATGGAGCATGCCCAGAAACAGATAGAAGACGTGTTTTACTTTCCAAAGATTGGAAGCTAGCTGAAAAGATGGGACTCCTTTCTGATTTGTGGAGGAGGCTGAGCAGGAAATGGTAGCCAGAAGAGTGTTCACCTGTGAATGTAGCAGCTTTCCTGGTGGCAGACAGGCCGGGACAAAATCAAGAAAACTCAAAACCAAGAAAATGGTCATTGATTATCTTTTTAAGGTAGGTAGATTCTGTATTGCTCATAATTAAATATGACAATCTCAACATTGGTCTCTAAACACGAAACCCCGTTTTGGCATGTGAATCATCTTTTCAAAAACTTTTATTGCAGTCTGTAATATATGTGGAGTCCTGGTGTGGTACTAATAGGATAAGCATTGGACTGCTAGGTAGGACAGTTCAAACTCACCAGTCGCTCCTTGGAAACCTTATGCAGGGTCGCTACAAGTAGGAACTGACTCAATGGCACTTAACAACAACAACAATAGCATAATATATGTATTACTCTATGGAATGTTGTTGTTTTAAGTGCTGTTGAGTTGGTGCAAGTCTGCATGGGGTTTCTGAGGAAACGCTATGGGGCAGGTTTACTCTGTAACACTTGGGGTCACCATGAGGTGGAATCAAGTCAGTGGTAATAGATTTGGATTTTTGTTTAATGAGGAGGGGGAGGCTGGTGGGTTTAAACCACCAATCTTTCTGTTAACACTCCAGTGCTTATCATACAGCGCCACATCAGGACTCCCAATGCAATGTACTGGAATGAAAATAATTCCTGACAGGAACGCAGTACCCAGTAAGCAAGGTAAGTACAGGCTTACTTGTGTAGATTTACTAATCTGTCATAAACAACTCATGTGAAATTGTTCTTTACAGATTAGTAAATCTGCACAAGTAAGCCCACGCTTACCTTGTTTACGGTCCTGTGCCCCTGAATTGAGCCAGCTGTCCATGACTAGTACAGAGTTTGTCTCGATTTATTTCATCTGAAGTTTCTGTTGCTCTCTTTCCCTCCTTAGGTTCCACCAGGCTTCCCTTCTGCGGAAGATGCCTATAACTTCTTTACTTTCAACTTTGATCCTGACCCAGAGGAATCAGAGGAGAAACCAAAAGCCACAGCTGCAGACAAAGATACTCAGGAGGAAGAGGCAGGAGAGGAAGAAGAACCACCCATGCAGGAAGGAGTAAACAAAACGGTAATGAAAAGGGACTCCTGGGGTGACACAAACAGCAAATCTGGCTTCAAAGAAGTATGGCCGGATGGTTTCTTAAAAGCAAGGTTGGTGAGACTTCATATCATGAACTTAGGATGTGTTCTCAGGAGGGATAGTCCTTAGAGGAGGACATCATGTTTGGTAAAGTGGTGGGTCAGCAAAAAAGTGGAAGACCCTCCATGAGTGGGTTCAAACACAATTTGTGAGAATTCTGAGAATGCGGCGGGACCGACCAGTGTTTCAGTCTAGTCTACGTAGGATTGCTGTGAGTCAGAACGAACTTCAGAATCCACCCAACAGTCTGTCACAGTCACAACTAAGCAAGAGGTGAGCAGTCTAACCCGCCCGAGGTTGCCACAGAAGAAGGGCTCGCAATTTGCTTCCATAAAGATCACAACCCAGAAACCCCTCGAGAGCACTTTCACTCTGTAACAATTGGGGTCACTGTGAGTTGGAATTGACTCAGTGGTAACAGAATTGGGGTTTTGTTTAATGAGGAGGGGAAGCAGACAATGAGGAGGAATGATGATGATGGGATCCTAGCAAGGATGAGGACAACCCTGTCACCCCCATTTACAACAATTCAACCAAGTCTTGGTTGAAGACAGTAGGAGTTTAGACTGCTGGAGAGTTACACCTTACCACTTGGGTAGTAAAAAATCCACACAAAAAGACCACCAGTGGCTGTCAAATCAGATTTCTGGCCTCGCCATGTGTTGCAGAACTGCTCTGTACGGTTTCCATGGTTGTGACCTTTCTTCCAAGGTGCCTCTGGATGGATTGAAACCACAAACCTTTTAATTAATACCCCAGTGCTTAACCATTTGCACAATCTCAGAGACTGCTCTGAGTAATAATAGTCTGGATTCAATTTGTCCATCATTCTCACCCCTCCACCAAAAAGAAAACAGAACAATGTGGCCTGCAGAATGTCATGCTGAACTCCGCACACTGATTAGTTCCATGTCACATGAACAGTACTTGCTTCTCCAAGACAAACAAAACTTCCCTCTCTGCCGCCACGACCTTGTTTTCTCTTCCCAATGCCACACCCAGATCATAACTCATCCCATAACTGTAGTTGGTGTGTCTGTGATAAAAGGAAAACACAGCAGAACGTTCCAGAACATGCACAATGGATATTTTTCCATGCTTCATATATGGTCTCTTCCCTTAAAAGATGTCTCCCAAAAGGGGATTTTCTTAACCTAGGTCTATGGAGACTTGGGAACTTTTCAGCATGTATTTTTTCCTTACATAAAACGATTATTAGAAGGACTTTAAAAATGTGTAGATTGTCTTTCCGTTATTTCACTAGGCGATTCCTGTTTCTGATGGAAAGGTATTACTTTGATTCCTGAAATCAAGGAAAACAAACTCTCCTTTAGGCTTCTAAGTGTTGCCAGCCCCAAGGCCTTCTGAACACACCCGCATGTTAGCCACAGTTCAACTAGCATGGAGCCATGCTCTGAGGTGTCTACCTTCTTCACCTTGGGATTTGCAGATTTCTGTCTGTCCTGGTGTGAAGTCCTGATGTGGCGCTGTAGGATAGGTTTGAATCACAAGGACAGCAGTTCATACTCACCAGTCACTCCTCAAAACCCCTATACAGGGTCATTTGGGGTCAGAACCAACTCAACGGCACTTGACAACAACAATAATCTCTCTTGATAAGGTCCTGGTGTGGCACTGTAGGATAAGTACTGGACTATTAGCTGCAAAGTTATAGGTTCAAATCCACCAGCTGCTTCTCAGAAACCCTGTACAGGGTCACTGTGAGTCAGAACCAACTCCACGGCACTTAATGACACACAGCAATCTATCCCAATCTATCCGGACAGATACTTCGTGCATATTTTCAGGAGGAACCAGTCCCTTGGGAAGAACGTCATGCTTGGTTAAGTAGAGCATCAACAAAAAAGAGGAAGACCCCCAATGAGATAGACTGGCACAGTGGCAGCATGAGTGGGCTCAAACATAACAATTATGAGGAAGGTGGAGAACCCGGTGGTTTTCTTCTGTTGTACTTAGAGTCACTATGAGTTGGAACCAACTAGACGGCACCTAACAACTTCTGTCCTGACATACTTGTGTACTAAAACTACCAATGACCATTGGACTGAAGGACTCAGGGGGTCTGGCCTAGAATGAAGCATAGATTGTTCTGTGCATTTATCGAGAATGTCGCAGAACTGTCACTTCACCTTTCTCACTACATCATATCACATAATACATGATACCTTGGCAGGCGTTTGGTTTGGGCTTCATTTGGTTTGATTTCTTTGGTGGTGGGGTGGTGAGTCCCCTAATTTTATGATTCTGTTTTGTATTAAGGATTCTAAAATTTCCTTTTTTTCCTCTTGTGTTAATTATCTATTTATATTGGTTGGTTATATATGCCGTGGAGTCAGTTCCGACTCAAAGCTACCCTGTACTGGGTTTCCGAGGCTGTAAATCTTTATGAGAGCAGAAAACCTCATCTTTCTCTTGTGGAACAGCTGGTAGTTTCAAACTACTGACCTTGAGGTTTGTGGCCCAATTCGTAACCATTACGCTACCAGAGCTCTTTAATTATCTATTGTTAGGTGACATCGAGTCAGTACTGACTCATAGCGACCTGATGCACAGCAGAATGAAACACTGCCTGATCCTGGGCCAACCTCACTATCGTTGCCACGCTTGAGCCCATTGATGCTGTCACTTGGCCAATTCCATCTCGCTGGGGGTCTTCCTCTTTTTCTCTGACCCTCCACCTTACCAAACATGATATCCTTCTCCAGCGATTAGTCCTTCCTGAATCCTATAAGCATAGTGGCTTTGTTGTTTTTGTTATGTGCCGTGGAATTGGTTCCGACTCATAGCAACCCTGTACAGGGTTTCCAAGGCTGTAAATCTTTACGGGAGCAGAAAGCCTCATCTTTCTCCCACAGAACAGCGGTTCGCAGCCCGAGTCGTAACCACTTTGCTACCAGAGTTCCTATAGTGGCTTTAAGCAACACATATTTATGATCTCACAGAATGGGTCTGGAAGCCAAGAGCAGCTTAGCTGGGTGGTTCTACCTCAGAGTCTCTTGCAATATTACAGAAAGATGTCAGTCAAGACTGCAGCACAGCCATCTGACTGCTTGACAGGGACAAGGTGGCTCATTTTCAATGTCTGACAAGTTCATGCTGGTTGTTGGAAGGAGGCCACAGTTCTTTGTCATGCAGACCTCCCAATAGGAAGGGATGAGTGTTCTCCTGGTGCCACTTGGCTTCCCCCAAAGCAAATGATCCAAGAGAGAAGGCAAGGAGAAGAATCATGGTCCCTGTAACGGCCTCCTCTCAGAAGCTACATCCATTGTTGTTGTTAGCTGCTACGGAGTTAGCCTTGATCCATCCATGACAGGATCGGACCATTGCATTTCACAATGTTTTCAATGGCTACTTTTCTTCCTAGTTCATCTTAGTCTAGAAGCTACATTCAAACCTGTTCATCACCACACAGACAGATAATAGCTGAGTTTGAGGTGCATTGGTGGGAAATCAAATCTGTGTCTCCCAGAAGGAAGGGTGAAATTCTACCATTGAACTATGACTGTCCCCTTACATACCATTTGTTGTTGAGTGTCCCTGAACTGATTGTGACTCATCATGGCACTATAGAACAGAACAGAACTGCCCTATTGGCTTCCCTAGACTGTTGTCTTTATGAGAACCAATCAGCAGGTCTTCTCTTCCACATAATTGCTGCTGGGTCAAGCCACCAACTGTCTGGTTAACAGCTGGGCCCTTTACCATTGTGTCATTGGGTTCCTTTGCATACCTTACTTCTGCCATCTCCAACTCATTATTAGTAAATCATGCAGTACTGCCCACACTCAAAGGGGGGTGGAGAAGTAGGTTCCACCTTTTGAAGGTGTTGTTAGGTGCCATCAAACTTGTTCCAATTCGCGGCAACTCTATGCACAGTAAAATGAAACCCTGCCTGGCCCTGTACCATTTTCACAACCATGGCTGGGTTTGAGCCCACTGTGGCAGCCACTGTGTCACTCCGTCACACTGAGCATCTTCGTCTGCTTCACCAGTCCTCTATTTTACCAACCACCATGACCTTCTCCAGGGACTGGTCCCTCCCTCCGAAGCACATGAGATTAAGTCTCGCCCTCATTGCTTCTAAGGAACATCCCAGCTCCACTTCTTCCAACACAGATTTGTTCATTCTTTTGATAGTCAATAGTATATTGAATATTTTTCACCAACATCTTAATTCAAGTAATTTGAAGGTTGTTGTTAAGTGCCATCAAGTCAGTACCGACTCACAATGACCCTATGCACAACAAAATGAAACACTGCCCAATCCTGGGCCAACCTCACAATTGTTGCCACGCTTGAGCCCATTGATATTGCCACGTTGCCAATCTATCTCACTGGGGTCTTCCTCTTTTTCTCTGACCCTCCACCTTACCAAACATGATATCCTTCTCCAGCGATTGGTCCCTTGTGACAATGTGTCCGGAGTATGAGAGATGAAGTTTAACCATCCTGGCCTCTAAGGAGCACTTTGGCTGCACTTCTTCCAACACATATCTGTTCTCTTGGCAGCACATGGTACTTTCAATGTTCTCCTCCAACACCATAACTCAGAAGCATCAATTCTTCTACGGTCTTCTTTATTCACGGTCCAGCTTTTGCATGCATATGAGGTTATTGAAAATACCATGGCTTGGGTCAGGCACACCTTAGTCCTCAAGCTGACATCTTTGCTCTTCAACACTTTAAAAAGTTCCTATGCAGCAGATTTGCCTACTGCAAATAATCTCTTGACTACTGCTTCCCTGAGTGTTGATAGTTGGTCCAAGGAGAATGAAGTCCTTGACAACTTCAATCTTCTCTCCATTGATAAGAATGTTGTTTATTGGACCAGTGTTGAGGATTTTTGTTTTCTTTACATTGAAATGCAATCCGTACTGAAGGCTGTGCTCTTTGATCTTCATCAGTAAATATTTTAAGCACTCTTCACTTTCAGCTAGCAAGGTTGTATCACCCGCATATTGCAGGTTGTTAATGATTTTTCCTCCAATCCTGATGCCATGTTTTTTTTTATATAACTCAGCTTCTCGGATTATTTGCTCAGCATACTTGTTGAATAAGTATAATAAAAGAATACAACCCTGTCGCACACCTTTCTTAATTTTAAACCATTTAGCGTTCCCATGTTCTATTTGAACTGCCTCTTGGTCCATATACAGATTCCTCATGAGCACAATTAAGTGCTCAGCCATACTCATAAATCACAATGTTGTCCATAGCTTGTCATGATCCACACAATCGAAAGCCTTTGCTTAGTCAATAAAACTCAGGTAAATATCTTTCTGGTAGTCTCTGATTTCAGCCAAGATCCATCAGACATCAGCAATGATATCCCTCATTCCATGGCCTCTTCTGAATCCGGCTTGAACCTCTGGAAGTTCTCTGTCAATGTATGCTTGTAGCTATTTCTGTATCACCTTGAGTAAAACTTTACTCGCATGGGATATCAAAGATATTGGCAGATGATTTCTGCATTCTGTTGGGTCACCTCTCTGTGGAATGGGCATAAATACAGATCTCTTCCAATCAGTTGGCCAGATAGTTTTCTTCCAAATTTCTTGGCAGAGATGAGTGAGTGCCTCCTGTGCCGCCTCACTTTCTTGAAAGATTTCAATTTTTATTCCATTAACTCCTGGTGCCTCGTTCTTTGTCAGTTCTTTCAATGCACCTTGGACTTCTTAAGTATAAAAACCTGTGTTATCTTCTTAAATCATTATACTAGTCTCCAAAGAAAAAAGAAGGAACTTCTGCCTTCCTTTTGTGGCTTTATTTCTCTCCTGGTAACTCATGGTGTGACATTGTAGGATCAGCACTGGACTGTGAACCACGAATTCGGAAGTTTAAACCCACCAACTGCTCCTTGGAAATCCTATATATGGTTGCTATGAGTTGGAACCAACTTGATGGCACTTAATAACAACAATTCATGTGTACGTTTAAGTCCTTTCACTGTAGTCCATGGTGTGGTCTGTTCAGACATTGTTTACTGATTTTATGCTCAGCATGGACTTGAATCTTTCTAGCAGACGTTTTGCATCATCTGTGGGCCCCTTTACTGGCATCCAACTCCTGGCTGTTCCAGGCTTTTCTCAGGATCCCTTTGCTCACCACAGCCTAGCACTGAGTGAAGATGGGGCAGGTGTGGAAAGCGTGCTTACTGGTATTTGGTGATTGCCCTCTCTTTGCTTTGAAAGTGACTTTGGCCTTTATACTTTGTACTAAGGGCATGGTTTCCCTGGAGATTTACTTTCCCTTCTTATTATAGTGCATATTTTGGGTAGAACTATTAGGAAACATAAGCAGCTCTGGTAGCGTAGTGGTTATGAATCGGGCTGTGAACCTTAAGGTCAGCAGTTCGAAACTACCAGCTGTTCCACGGGAGAAAGATGAGGCTTTCTGCTCCC